TTTTTTTTTTTTTTTTGCTGCATGTTTCTCATAAAAAATAGCGTTTTGAAAAACAATTTTGAAAAAAAATATTTTGAAAAATTTGAATATTATTATCTTCCACATTTAACATAACATAAGCAGATAAGACACAACAAAATATGACCTTATGTAAAATTAAACAATTTCATTGTAAACAACTAAAACAAACAACTCTGTGGATTACATGGCCATCTATGATGAAAACATGAAAATTATAAATAGAAATACCTCACCTCGACCAAACAGACTTTGCATCACAATCCAGCAGGTGGCAGGCCAACAGTTTTTTCAGCACTGTGAATAGCACGTTCCTGAAACATTGATATCGGAAAAGCAACCGAATGTTAAAACCATGACCATGAACATATACATTCTGCATCGTTGTAGAACTCTATACAGCTGTGTGCAAAGTGGCATTCTTAAGATTTGAGATTTTCTGCAGTCGGTTAACCGATATGAATATGCACGATATGATATTACACTGCACGATAAACACTGGTAACTTCTACTGCAGTAATTTTTTCCAACACAGCGTCATTTGATTTGCAGGAAAAACAAAATGCACATTTTGGGATGTTCTGTGTTGTGTGCTTGTTGTGTGAGACCCACGTGCATCGTGTCGACACAACCGCCGTTTGGACACAGATAAGAGAATGCGACACAACCGCCGTTTGGACACAGATATGATGGATGATGATGGATGGAGATTCGTGGAGAATCTCCATCCACCGATCACTGCCAAAAACATCTTCTTTTTCGTCACACTGCTCATGGACGCCTTCACGGAATCAAAACAACTGCGCGCTCCACAACTTCAGTGTGTTGCTGCGAGTTTGACTGACACGTCACTCAGGCTGTCAGCCACCGCCCTATCCACGAAGAGACTGCCATGGACTGCACTGGTAGACTGCCAATAAACAGTCAGGCACATAAAAGAGTTTATTTTCAATGAAATACAACATGAAGCGGGACAGGTGGTCCCTCTAATGTCATGTTGGTCAGACGGGGAAAAACTGATACAACATTTTGGGGGGAAAAAAGAACGTAAAAATCCAACTTTTCTGCATGTTTCTCATCAGATTAAATCATTTTGAGAATTTTTATAAAAAAATATTTTTGAAAATTTTCGGTAAAATCTTAATGTCACATGTCATAATGGTCAGATAATGAAAAATTATGATGAAAGATTTTGGATTTTTTTTTTCAAAATTCTATCTTTTCTGCATTGTTCTAATTAAATAAGAGCAGTTTGAGAAATTCTTAGAAAAATTCAGGAAAATCCTAATTTAGCAAGTTGTATTTTCTTAATTCTTTATTTTTTATTATTATTTTACCAAATTGTAAATATTATCCATCAACACAGTGACTGTAAAAGAAAGAGAAACAAGTTAGCAATTATAAGACACTGTGTATATTTTTTATAGAAAAATACGGAAGAACAATAAGATTCAATTCTGAAGCAGAGAGCATTTTATTATTTAAATCTTTTTTACTTTGCGAAAATGCAAAGAATGCGAAGAGGTTGTAAAAACACTGGAAAACCGTATAAAAACAGATGAAAACAGATGATTGTTGTGACTACAAACTGTCCTGACGCAACGTGCAGTTTGAACCATCGTGTCCGAGCTGGAACAACTGAGCCACGAAAAGAGAAAAGCAAATCTTGTGCTGCCGTTCTGCCCCGAAGAATTAGTGTTCTTTGGTTTGATATGTCAAAAGTTAACGGTTCAAATTTAAATTAGCATTCAGCCAAAAGACAACGATCGGCGGCAAACGGAAGCCGTAAAACGTAAGTAAACATTTACTATTAAACATTTTAAATAACATGTCCCCGTATCCCTGCGCTGCACCCTCCAGGGGCCAGAGGGAGCCGGACCTGAAGGACCAAGTGTCCTCGTGTCTGTTCAGATGTGGGTCCTGCCCAAGAAACGATAAACAACAGAAATACTGACTCTTCCTGACTTTAACCTGACGCAAAAATGTTACAGATTCAACAGTGACATCTGTAGAGAAAAAAATTGCACTTTTGAAACTGTTTGTCTGAAGCCCTGATGTGGAACAGAGAACGTCGGTAACACGACCTGGTAAACCCAGTCAAGTGACTCCAAACTAGACTGAACAAAGAGTTGTTGTTGTTGCATCGTCAACATGGAGTGAAACTCAACAAAGAACGCCATGAAGTCAAGAGGAAGAAGTCCGAGTTGAGTTCCCGGGAGGGTTTTGTGTTTGAGTTTAAGTCACAGAAGAAGTTCTGGTCGACTCCACGTCACAGCTCTTCTTAGTTAGCTCCAAGTCTACGACATGTAGAATCAAGTCCCCTGGGTTTAAGGACGGCCTGAACCTTTGACTTCAGGTTGTGTCCAGAGTCTGTGTCTTCACCTCTGAAACCATTCCAGTCCAATTAGAGACAAGTCTCCACAGTTTCGAGTCAGAAACCTAAATATTACCGTATTTTCCAGACTATGTCTGTGTCCAGGGTGGGAGGGTTGTTGTGTTGTTTGGTTTCTATTCTGTTAAACTTGTTAAAATTCAATAAAAAAAATATAATTTCAAATGTTTGTTATTTTCACACTGACAGCCACTAGAGGGCACTCTAGGCTTGCACTCTATAGTCTGGAAAATACGGTAATTAACGTCTCTGCAGTGTCCAAGTCCAAGATAAAAAAAAACTTTTTTCAAAGTCTACCTTAGAGACCTGGACTTTGGACCTGGAGATTTCCAGTTGAGTCCACGTCCAAGTCAATAAAGTCTGAAAACAAGTTCCACGTCAGAGTCTGAGTTACAGCAAAGACCGTCCACGTCCAGCCCAAAGGTTTCAGCATTTAAACCTGGTTAAAGAGTGAGTCAAAGTAAAAGGAAACTTGGTTTGAACCTTCCTGGTCCAAGTCCAGGTCTACTAGTGCGTACCAGAGTTGTCTCCACTGGTTTAGGAAACAACCGTGTTCGTGGACAAGTGCACGGAAAATAAGGCTCTCGGCCACAGTGAACCGTTTTCAACATCAGAGTCAAACTGCAGTTCCACGTCCGTCCTGTAAACCAGTCCTCAGTCTATGAACAAAGTGAGGAGGAAAAGAGTCGACCTGCTGCGAGGTTGAATCCCGGCTGGATCAGGATCGAGTCCCTGACTCCAGCAGAAACAGGAAGTACCGATTTGTCAGGAGTCGACTGACAGTTCTGTCTGTGATATCAGTCACCAGAGTCTTTGGTGTCAGAGTGAGGTGTGAACTTCAGCCGAAATGTCCCTGTGGGAACACAAGGGGGAGACGTTGGTTCTTGCATTGATTACGAGACAAATTCCGCCGTGGGTTCTATTCATTTTTTTTTCTTTTTAAATAAACTTTTTTTTTTTAGTATGTTTTTGACATTTCTACCAAAAGTTTGGTTACATATTATTTGGAATATATATGATTATTTTATATTGGAATAGACTCGTAATAATATTATATTGTTGTCATAAAAAAGGAATAAAATGCAGTGAAATTACCAAATAAAAAGTTGTATTTTAAATTGGATTTAATATTGGAATAGACTCGTAATAATATTAGACTGTTGTTGAATAAATTGCAGTTAAATTACCAAATAAAAAGTTGTTTTTTAAATTGGATTTGTCAGTTATTTTATCTAGTTTTCACCAGACAAAATTAACAGCTTATTCTGATAACAAAGAAATATTTTTGACATCACGATAGATTTGTTTTAATTGTATCTTAATATTTAAAAGGCAATAATTGTCTGAAATGTTACGTTTTTTTTTCAGTTACTTCCTGTCATTTTTTCTTCTGACAGATAAAATAACAGGAAGTGATCATAACTGAAAACTTTTT